CACCCCCCCCGCCACTGGGAGAGGCTAGGGTGGTGCCAGGCGTGTTGAGGCGCGGGCCGGCGTGTGGGCAGGGCAGCGGTGCCGTGTGTGGCCGCAGCGCGTCGCCCTCTCCGGCAGGTCCCTGTGGCGCCTGACTGGCCAGGGGGCTCATGTTTTGCAGCAGACAGATGAAGCGGCGCAGACAGACAGCCAGCAGCTCCACTCCTCAGACCACACAGACAAGCAGCAGCCCAAGCGGTTACACGTCTCCAACATCCCCTTCCGGTTCCGGGACCCCGACCTGCGGCAAATGTTCGGGGTACGTATGCCAACCCCGTGCCCGCGGCCCTGGGAGCCCTTCCACCCCGCACCACGCTTGGCGGGGATGGGAGGGCGGCCCTCCGTGCCGGCTCCGGGGCCGCCCTGACGCTCCGCTCTGTCCTTGCAGCAATTTGGGAAGATCCTGGACGTGGAGATCATCTTCAACGAGCGGGGCTCCAAGGTGGGTGCCGCCCGCGCCAGCCCGGAGCAGCCAGGCCGAGCGGCCGCTCCTCCCAGAGGAGGATGCCTGGGGACGGGGCCTGTCTTCCCTGCTCTTCTGCCTCGCTCCTGTCCTGCCCCGGCTCTCGGCTCTCGTGCGCTGCTGCTTCTCCCTCTCCTCTCCCCCTCCCAGCCCAGGCCGTGCCTGGCCCCCACCCTCCTGCCCTTGCCTCTTGCACCTTCTCGGCTGGGACGACACCCAGATGTCCTGGCTTGGCCCACGGCCCAGGGGCTCGGCTTTGCCCCCAACGTCCTGGGCGAGGACTCGGAGACTCGTTCTTCTGTCCAGCTGGGCAGTGCCTGGGCCGTCCCCTGCCCCGTGCAGCGCTGGCCGCCCCGTGCGTGTGGACGCTCCCGCTGTGCCCTCCTGTCTCTCGGCCCCGGCGTGGGGCGACAGGGGCTGGAGCTGGGCTCCCCGTGCTCCGCTGGCCCTGGACTGACCCGGGCCCCGTGCACAGCAGCAGCCGCGGCCAGAGCCCACCCTCCTGACCACCTTTCTCTCTGCCCCGCACTGCCCCCCTCTCTGTCTCTCTCTGCCCTCCCCCCCGTCTCTGTCTCTCCCCCTTTCTCCTCTGCTCACAGGGTTTTGGGTTTGTAACTTTTGAAACTAGCACAGATGCCGACCGGGCACGGGAGAAGCTGAATGGCACAATCGTAGAGGGACGGAAAATTGAGGTGCTCAGATAAGTGTGACCGTGCCGCTGCCTGCTGCGTCGCGCCCGGTCCAGCCCCTGCACGCCTCCTCCTGGGCTCAGGGCTCTGCTCCGGCATGGCCCGCCCCGCGCCTCGGAGCTGCGGGGGCACTGCAGCAGACTGGGCCGCCTCGTCCCAAGGGGTGCGGGCACAGGGGTCGTGGGTGCCATGCACCTCCTCACCTCTCCGTGTCCTCTTGGCCCCAGGCCAGCCGTGCAAGCATGCCCATGCGAGCCGGGGCCCATTGCATGCTCCTGTTTTGTGGCGCTTGCGGTGGGACATGTCCAGCTCTGGTGGGGCCGGGGGTCGTGCATGTCACCAGGGCTCACGGCGTTGCAGCGGGCGCAGGGGGATCTGCAAGGGAGTTTCTTTGCTTACGCTGAGAAGTCACTGGATGAAACCACTGCTGTGTCCCAGGGCTGGGAGAGGGGAGACGCTTTCCTCTGGCCCCCAGGCAGCACTAGGCAAAGTCAGGGTTAGGGTTAGGGCTACTCTGGTCCTGGCTGCTGAGTTCAGCAGCAAACGGAGCGGAGCTCGCTCCCCGTGCCCATGCATCTCTGGTGTTTGGGCTGGTGCTGGGCACTGCAGGGAGCTTGCATGGTGCTACCAGCATCCATCCTGCCCAGCTCTGATGCTCCATGGGCACAAATCTCTCCCCCCTGCCCTGCTGGGCAGCAGACGGACAGGGCCTTGTCCTGCCACGGAGAGCACGAAGGAGCTTGACCCATGGGCAGGGCTGCGGGCAAGCTTCACCGTGCCGAGCAGAGTGCCGGAGCCGCGCGGCAGCACCGAGACCCAGGCCGCCAAGCCGGGGAGGGCTCCACAGTCCATTGGGCAGCCTCAGGCTGCCAGCACGACTGGGGCTGTTTGTAGGAAGTGCAAGGCGCACGTTGCTGACACGCGAGCCGGGCACAGCGCCGTGCAAGGGGACCCCATGCCCTGCCTGCACTGATGCTCCTCCATCCCGGGCACCGTGGCAGAGACGTGGCGCTGAGCAGACCCCTGGGATGCGGCATCCCTGGCCCAGCTGGGCACAGACTGATCCCACCCGCGCCCTCTCTCCGCAGGTGAACAACGCCACCGCCCGCGTCATGACGAACAAGAAGGCTGCAAACCCCTACACAAACGGTGAGTGCCCGCGGAGGGGTGGCCGGGGGCTGGCAGGGGTGGGGGCGGTGATGGCCGGCCTGGCCAGGCCTCCCGGGACGGCCCTCACGCTGCTCTGCCCCGCAGGCTGGAAGCTGAACCCGGTGGTGGGAGCCGTCTACGGGCCTGAATTCTATGCAGGTAACGTTTGTGGCGGCCGGAGCCGGCGGGCAGCTCGGGGCAGGGCCCGTCCTCACGGGGAACAGGGAGCTGGACCGCAGCCCCCTGCACAGGGCCGTGGCTGCAGCCTCCTGGCAGTGCCCGGGCGTCCATGGCACGCGTGCTGCACGGCAGCAAAGCCATTGCTCCCATGGCTGCTGGAGAGCGTGTGCCCGCAGCAGGAAGCACTTGCCCCAGACAGATGCCAGGGATGCTCCCTTCACCGATGCCCCTGTGGGCACGTGCAGTCGTGGGGGCTGCCCTCGTATCCCATCGCGGCCCAGGCGGCCCCAGCTCGCGGGGGCAGCGGTGCCGGCGCGGGCACCTCGGCGTAGCAGGCTCATGGCCCTCTCTCTCCCCTCCAGTCACAGGGTTCCCTTACCCCGCCACGGGGACGGCCGTGGCGTACCGAGGGGCGCACTTGCGGGGCCGGGGGCGCGCTGTCTACAACACCTTCCGCGCCGCGCCCCCGCCTCCGCCCATCCCCACCTATGGAGCGTGAGTACCGCCGGGAGGGGGGCAGCTGCGTGCAATGCCCGTCCTGGGGGAGCGTGCCGCTTGCGTGCAAGAGCGGAGAGCTCGGGGCCGGGGCCGGCCATCCCACAGCCCTGACGTGGGACCATATGCACGGGTCTGCAGCCCTCAGGGCGTGGTTGCTAGCGTGGACAGGGCGTCTGCTCCGTGCAGCCTCCCGGGAGCCGCTGCAGCAGTGTTGTGGAAATCTCTGCATCCCCCGTCCTGCGCGGGCTCTGGGCTTCCTCGGCGGGGCAGCTGTGGCTTCAGGGTCTGCGTTGCCCCCAGCCCGGGCACCTGTGCCGCTCTCCACAGCTGGCTGGGCCATGGCACCGGCCCCCACTGTCCTCAGCCCACTCTGCCCACCCTGCTTCCCAGGGCCCTTCATCCAGAGCCTGTCCTGCTGTCACGGCTTTGGCCCTCCCCTGGACCCGTCACACGTCCCCACCCGAGAGCTGCCCCTGGAAGCAGCAGCCCCGTCGCGGTGGCCCTGCCCATCCCTGCCGGCTCCGCGCTCGCCCTGGGGCTCACGGGCTTTGCTTCTGGCTGCTTTGCAGGGTCGTGTATCAGGACGGATTCTACGGAGCCGAGATCTACGTAAGTGCCCACCGTGGCTGCCCGCGGGGTGTCCGTGTCCCTCCATTTAATGCATCCAGCAAAGCAGGTGCAGGGTGAAGAGAAAGGCCCATTAGCTGCACCGCAGCCCCGTTGCTCGAGGCAGTGGCTGGGCGATGACCCGGGGGTGCCGGGGTTGCGCTGGCAGGGACAGCCGAGATGGAGCAGGGCTCGATCTGGGGGCAAGAGCTGCGCGGGGGTTGGCCACGGCGAAACCATGCCGGCATCGACCCGGGACGACAGCGCAGAGAGATCTGCTGACACGGAAAGTGCAGCTGGAAAGTGGGGACGAGGGCAAGGGAGGAAAGGGGATGCTGTGCTTCCCCAGGAGGGTGGGCTGTGCCCCAGCCTGCCCTCCCTAACGGCCTTGTCTCCTCTCGCTGCGCAGGGAGGATACGCGGCATACAGGTATGCCCAGCCCGCGGCGGCGGCAGCAGCGTACAGTGACAGGTGAGCGCCCCTGCCCGCCGTGCCCAGGACGCTGCTTCCCAGCCTGGGTTACCCCTGAGCCCCGTCTCCAGCCCTCCTTGCCCGGGGGACCCCAGGCCCCGAGAGCAGCCCCCGCTTGGCACAACGAGCCCCTGAGAACTCGGCACTCGTCACATCAGTGCCGCTCTCAGCCGGTCCCCGCCACACCCCCTGGCCAGGGAGACGGCATAGCCCCCGTCCCCGGGGGGCTCAGGGAGGAAGGTGGGGTGGCTTCCCCGGCAGCCTCCGGCCCCCCAGCGTCTAACCTTCCCGCCGGCTTTGTTCCCAGCTACGGCAGAGTGTACGCGGCCGCGGACCCGTACCACCACACCATCGGCCCTGCCGCCACGTACAGCATCGGCACCATGGTAAGAGCCGCCCCCGGCTGCCCTCCTTCCCGCGCTCCCCGAGATGCTGGGCCGTGCGGGCGGTCGGGCACACGGCCCCCGGCGGGGCTGGGTCTCTGCCCAACGGCCGCGCAGAGGGCAGGGGCCTGGGAGACCTGACCCTGCCTGGCCCCGTGCATGCCCGAGGGAGGCCCCGGCCCCAGGGAGGCTGCCCTACCCCTCTGCCCCTGCCCAGACCCTGCTGCCCCAGGCAGAGGCAGCCCCCGCCCCCCAGCGAGCACAGAGCCTGGTGCCCGAGCAGCTTGTGGCCCTGGAGCCCCCCCGCACACATGCCTCCGGCATGCCGAGCAGCATGTCCAGCGCCGACCGCATGCGTGCGCCTGCGCGTGCATGCCCGTGCCATGCCGTGCCTGCCGCGCGCCCCCGCGATGCGTGTTAATGGTCGTTTTTAGCTAGCTTTGCAACCAGCATCAAAGATGAAAAATCCCGTCTGCGGGGGCCTCAAGCCAACCGGTCTTTTTCTTCCTTTTTTTAACACCCCCCGGCCCGGCCGAGGGGTGGGCAGCCGCGTGCGGGGGGCCCTGCTGGGGC